CTTATTAGGAAAATCATGAAGTAAATTTATGTTGTGTATTAAAAACATCCATTGAAAGGGTTACGAGTTGCCTTGAATTATTGCAGTTAAATAGAAGGTCAAGTTGATGATTAAATATCGTAGACATAATGAATGTTTTCTTACCTTGTCTTGTTTATAATTAAACGTAATATAGTTTACGATTAAACGCGTCACAAGATAACCTATTAAGAGCCCATTTAACAAAATTATTTATACATTTATCACCTAATATACAAGCATTATAAATATCACACCAACCGCATCCGTATTCTGATGGTATTGTCCGACATGAATCACAGTCTTGTGCTAAATTTTCACAAGTATAAACAACCACTGGTAAAACATTCGAATGAGGTTCAATACCATCCCATAATATACGTAAAAGTCCCGTTTCTATATCTCCAGTACGTTTGACATTTAATTGCACAGGATAACAATGAACTATATTTTTTACAATCATACCTTTCAAGTGTATATATTTCTGTTTAAAATTGATTTCACAAACTATTTCTTTGTCATATATTACTGGATCTGGTGAGAATATTTTAACTTTAATATTGGTACGTACATCAGCGGGTAGCAGAATTGGACCCGAATGACTTATGAAGGGGCATCTGATATCCTGTGCACTTGAATTCGTTGACTTAGCGCTGTAGCGAAGTTTACATGCTCTTTCTGTTTCCGAAACGCAGCCAATATCATGACACCAATTGCACGGATACATAGTACCACTGGTACATTCTATACAATTATTAAAATGACGGCAATAAGTTTCTGGTCTACTTCTTCCAGTTGTATTAAAATATTTCGCTATTTGTTCATAATTTGTCTTGAAGTCATCGTTCCTATAAAATATATTCAACTTCTTGTATTCTTGTCCTGAAAAAGCATATTGTAAAATTGTCATTGTTATTATTGTTTTGATAGCTATATCTCCTATGCTTTTCATATTGTGCGTTTTCGTGAATTTTATCAGATTAACTTTTCTATCTATACTTTGAATACATGTCGAGATGTTTGTTCTTGATTTGACGTTGTTAAAGTAGTAGATGCTTCGATAGTGTCGTCTCTTAAATATATTATAAAGGTTCAGATTAACATCTACAACAATGAAGTATCTGCTTCCGGTCTATATTATAACAAATTAGCAACAATTATTATATTCAATAATATTGCATTGTAATTCTTTATTACATTGTGTGAATGTTATTAATCTATTGTTTGATTACGGAGAACAAATAGTTATTTTCTTTGCACTCCCGGGAATTGTGACATAAGGTTTAATATTGATATCGTCGATCGAAATTGAATCGAACGGAGAGGATGCACAGAAAGAAAATATATTCCCTTTCCATGCATCCTCTCATCCGGAAAGTCCACTTCCACTTCCCATCCTTTCCTTATAAGAAAAAGGTGGGAAGGAAAAGAGGACTAAATTAAGCCTCCGGGACGCACACTCATCAAACGAAACGCGGAATTGCTTCCACTTCACGCCTGTCTTCTGCATGGTCGTGGTATTTCACCGGGCGAGCCGGGCCAATTCGTGCAAAGATGTTAAAGCGGGCTCTACCACCGTTCTTAACAACTAACTTATCTACCGTTGTCACTCTTTAAAAGTATTTCTAAAATACTTTGCCAAATGGTTATTATATATATATTTATTTCCCCAATACTTTTACTTTATGAAATGTCTCATTGTATGAAATACGTTCTAAATGTATTTATTTCTCTGACAGCAAGTCGCAGGTGCGAACAAAAGGTCGAGATTGGAAAAGGTATTAGGATTATTCCATTCTTTGTTTATATCGCTGTCTCACCTTGATATAGGGTAAAAAAATGAAATGACTATACTAAATTAATAATTGTCTATTTCATAAAGTGATCTTCATGTTGTTTTATTTTAAGAGTATACGCAAAATTTTACCTTACCATAAAACATCTTAAAAACGTTAGCAAAATCCGAAGATTACTTTTTAAATTGAGAAAAAGTAATGAAACACTGCATTTAGCAGTGAATACCTCGCGAAATAGGATAACTTCGGAGAGCCTTTAAAACCATAATAATCATAAAAACTGTCTCGCTGTTACAAACTTTATTGCACGCTAAAATACGAAGAAGCTGCTATTATTGTTCTGATGGTAAAAATATAACAATACCTCTAAATTTCAATCACAAACAAGTAATATAAAAATTAATAAACGTCAATAGCCTAATGGTTAAGGGTACGGATTTCCGACCACGAGGTCGGGGGTTCGAGTCCCGCCATTCGACTATTGTCGTAAACCATATCCTAGCACAAGCCTAGAGCTTAGTTGGAATGGTTAAAGAAATATTAGTAAATTTACAAAAAAAAATCTGCTAATATTATTACAAAAAAAAAACAAATTTTTCATATTTTTTTAACACATTTTAATAAATAAATGTAAAATATCCAATTAAATTCCCAGCAAAATAAATACAACGTTAAAATAAATTTCAATTAAATTTAACTAGCGGAGTGTAGCGAAGTTGCGTTAAACTCCTCGGAGAAAATTAATTTAACTTTAGCGTTGGATTTTTTTCACAAAATTACACTCAATTCAAATTAATAAGTTGATTGTGTAACTAGTATCAAGATAGAGTTATTTAATCTAGTACAATTGGATATTTGTATTGGATTTCTTTAATAATAAAAATGTTTACTTTTTAGGGTTCCGTACCTCATAGGAAAAAAACGGAACCCTTATAGGATCACTTTGTTGTCCGTCCGTCTGTCTGACAAGACATTTTTTCTCAAAAACGCGTTTTTTTTATATCGTAAGGTGGCAAACGAGCGAGCGGCCACCTGAAATCCCTGAAATAGCGAAGTGACCGTTGCCTATAGACATACGCAATTGCATACTTTTTTTTTACGTTTTCCAAGCTAGCGCGTATATGCGTTGCCTACCTTTACCTGCGTGAAAGTATCAAGCTGGAATTTATGTAAACTTTTACATGGCTTAGGAATCTCAATATACCTGTAATTACTGGCGCCCCCGGCGACATTTTCATGGCGCCCTTTTTTACTATGCTTGGGGGAGGCAACAGTCATGTGAGACTTTGCAAAATTGTTTTAATGTACCGCGGTTTCAAACAAAGCGATTGTGTTATCGTTTCTCGTGCGCACAGCATAGGATTGGAATAAGTTGCCGGCGCCAGAGTTTCCGGCCAACTATATCGTGGGTGCGTTCCAGAGTACTGAAAAATAAAAAAATCTGTGGCGCCTTTTTCTGTCCAGCGCCCTAAAAGGCGCGGGCCTTTACCCAACGTCGACCCTGGTAAAATGGTATTTTATTTGGGACAATATAGCAAATTGGACACATTGCCTATCCCTTTTTATCATAATTTTTTCAATGTATATTTCAGTATTTCATTTTTGATACCTATGAAATGCATTCAAGGTCAAGGTCAAGGTCAAGGTTCGCGTATTGAATTAGCATTGCAACAGATACGTGAAATTTAGTAGTTTATCCGAGCTGAAAATACTATATTTTCACAGTATCCTAATATGTTTTTTGCTCTGTTTCAACGTCAAATGATTTGTGTACATCGCTTTAAGAGTTTTTTTATAAACAAAAACCACATGTATGAGAATATTTAATAAATTTTGATTGATATTCGGACAGAATGGCAGTCAGCCAAACCCATCGATCATATTTTGATGCAAAATAGAATTGAGAATCATAGGACGTGAAATTGTCGACACATGTTTGTTACTCTGTGGAAAATTAAATCGAGTAACATCGGAAAATCCGAGAACTGGATGTTTTTAGAGTGAATTCTAATGTGAAAAAGAAACAATTCATAAAAGCTTTTTGTTTGTTAATACACTTGATTTTTACGAATACAAAATTTTGCGTTATAAAGAATTTAATATCTTGTAGATATTATAAATGTAAATACATGGATGGATGGATGTTAGTTACGAGGTATCTTCAGAACGGCTGTATGGATCTCGCTAAGATGCCGAACATAGTCTGGAAGACCACATACGCTACTTATTAAGTTTTTTTTTTATTCTGCTCGGACGGAGTCTCTGAAAGCTAGCGTATTGTAAAAGCGGTAATTTATAGATAAATGTTACTGTGAGGACTTAAATAAGAAAATCGACACTTTCTTATTATAACAGTTTTATTTTTCAAGTTTTTAATATTGTTAGACGCCAGACTTTTCTATGGATTATAACAACCTTTGTAATCCCTTATGATCTTGGAACGTCACTTACATCCTAAGAACTAAATCTACATAGAATTATGCATTATACAGAAAATCCACAGAAGTCAGGCGTCAAGTGGAAGCGATTCCGCGTTTCGTCTGATGAGTGTGCGTCCCGGAGGCCTAATTTAGTCATCTTTCCCTTCCCACCCTTTTTCTTATAAGGAAAGGATGGGAAGTGGAAGTGGACTTTCCGGATGAGAGGATGCATGGAAAGGGAAGATATTTTCTTTCTGTGCATCCTCGTAACGCATATGCAGTTGCGTATGTCTATGGGCAACGGTCACTTCGCTATTTCAGCGATTTCAGGTGCGAGCGGCCACTTCGTTTGCGACCTTATGATATAAAACAAAAAAAATCCTGCAAATAATAATTCTCAAAATAAACGTATTCAAATACACTTTCAACAAAGAGGGAATTCCAAAACAAACTTTTTACTAGCTCAACGCCAAATTTCGTAAAAGTTTCTTGACGCTTTAGGATATCCTGACACCAGATTGCAAAACATTGAAAACATTAAAAACTTTCTTTTCTATTCTTTAAGAGGCTTTGAAAGGTTTTATTTCAGAAAATGAATTACTGCAAAATACATTTACACCTCGAAATATAATTAGAAACTATAATCAAGTTGAGATTCATTACTCAGAACGTTTTAAGTAATTTTAAAATCGTTTAACGCTTGAATACTTTACGATGTTCAAACAGTTTAATTTTTAATTCACTAGATTTTATATAATGTTCCCATATTACGTGTTTTTCTTAATTATTCTTAGTAAGACAATTATTTGTAGAGATTTTTACGTGGGCATGTTCAAAAGAAATGATTTCTTGGTGGCTCAAGATCGATTATATAAAGAGAAAGTGCCTTATGGACATATTTATGCGAAATATGGAAGACATTTTAAATGTCCGGTAAGTTATTGCTTTCTTAACAATATAAGAATATGTCTTTAAAAAAAAAGACTGTGGTTTAGTGAAGCCATAAAATATTTATAGTAACTTTAACATGAGATTAATTAAAAAAATCTTTTGTTCGTCAACACCGCAATTTTTGGTTTAATGTCTTATTTCTTTATGTAGTTATGAAGGGTAAAGTAGGTATAAAAAGAAACAATTTGATTTAAATTGTAATTCAAAAATAATAATCATGAATTTTCGATTACAAATTCTATGAAAACAACCATCGAAAATCGAAATTTTTTTTAACCGATTTTACTCAACCCATATCTAGTAAATTGTGACTTGAATTGTCAAACTAATATATCTTAAATAGACACACTATAGTGCAAATCATAGCTAGTTATACGTAAATGAAGACAAAGAAATGATATTTGAAATCCTGTAATTAATTAGACGTCTTACTGATTTACAGATAACATATTTAAGAGTAGTAGATCGTTTAGGAGTCGGCAGAGGACCTCAAGTACAAGTCGTCAGAGGTGGCATCCGATACACTAACGTGGTGCTACGTCTGAGATCACCTTACGGGCTGCCGATATCTGTGAATATATACGTCGGATGTGAAAATAAGATGGTGATCACAACACCACTTGTACCAACGAATGACGGTGACTTGACTGGTGGTGATGCGACTACAATCCCAGCAGATAATTCAAAAAATACAGCTGCCACAACGAATACTGGAGAAAATACAGCAACAACAGTGACATAATATATAAACAAGCATACCGTTTCCTTAAAGTTCGATAACGCATCTGCAGTTCCTCTGGCGTTGTGGATGTCCATGCGAGTAATCAATCACCTGTGTTCTTGTCGCTCGTTTGTCCCCTTCTTTTATAAAAAATACAGTTGAAATCGGTGTGTTTGTATTTAATACCGAAAACAATATTTTGCTAACATTTGCATTGCTGATCGAAAATACAACTTTAAATTTTTATGTGCACAAGTCCGCGCTTTTTCCGGATAATCTGCAGAACGGCTGGACCGATTTTGACCGGACCCTTACGGGATGTATCTGAAGCATCCGGACTTATTGTTGCCTATATAAAATATTTTCACGACTTAGGATTTTGCTATTAAATAATAAGTTAGGTTTTTAAGAATTGCTAATTTAAATGTGAAATTACCTCACGTCTTAAAATAGGAATATATTCCATTCTATTGCATTGTAATGGAATATTAGGGATGGGTGTTACTCCTCGGACAATACCCATTGTACGAATTAATTTATATATTTCTGCAGTGACAGTAATACCATCCTTTTCACGCTATAAATTCATAAGTATTATAAGTTAAGTTAAACATAACAGTCGAGTGGATTTGAAATTAGATGTTTGGATTATTGAGAGGAGAGAGATGATGATGGAATAAACCAGTATTGTGTAGTTTTGACGATGTTTGCTCAATATCGATTGAGAGAAGTCAAATAATACTAATAAATGCCAAGTCAAATAATAGAAATGCATCAATGAATTATGTCGTATATTTTAAAATGTTTTCAATGTCCTGAATATTTTATTAGTTAGACATTGTCCTTCAATCGATATATATAAAAGAAAGTCGTGTTAGTTACACTATTTATAACTCAAGAACGGCTTTACCGATATGGTTGAAAATTGGTGAGGAGGTAGCTTAGAGCCGGGAGACAAACATAGGATTACACAGGACAGGATTTCGGACAGGACATATATTTGATTGATGCCTTGATGAGCTGCTTTTTATTTGACCTTTCTAATATTATAAATGCGAATGTTTAGATGGATGTGATGTGGATGGATAGATGGATGTTTGAAGATATCTCTACAACGGTTGAATGGATCTCGATTAAATTACGGAACACCTACACTACACTAATTAAGTTTTTTTATATGTCCACGCGGACGGAATCGCGGGCGACAGCTACTTAAAATATTGGCTAAGATTCGTCGAATATTTCATGAATTTAAATATTCTCGTATCCCTAGAAATAAGGTATAACCAAGGGATTGAAAGAAGACAAAATTAATACAATCGACTTTGCGTCAAATTAAGCAGATAAATTAAACCCAGGAGAAAATTTGTCGGTATTTCACGGAGAAGTATCGAATTTATCTTTTTTTTTTGTTCCGACTCGTGCCCCGGGAGTCTGAGAAAATCCCTATTAATCAAGATCACTTTTTTACGTGTGTAGATTTACGACTTCTCGTTTAATTAAATTAAAAAAAATGTGATGAAATGCGATATTTTTTTACTATTTTACTTATTACCCAACTTACAAGAGGGTAATGTTTGCACGTGCGTAAGGGTGTTTGTATGTATGTTGTTTGTCACGGTCTAGAGACTAAACTACTGAACCGATATTGACGTGTGAGAGGTCATTCGATTCGACTTCATCCTCTGAGTGTCACAGAAAATGTTTCAAAGGCACAAAATACATAAAGTGGACGTAAGAAACGAAATTCCAAAGAAGTGAAAATAAATACGATTATCAGTCACCGATACTTTTTTAAATTTCTAATTTTTTTTCGAGTATATTCTAAAATAAGAACTTCTTCAACTGATTATGATGGACAAAATCGCAGGCAGAAGACAATTTGGAAGTCGTGGCTAAGAAACATCCGGGAATGGACCAATATTGCCAGCGTTGAACAACTTTTTCGTCTGGCACAGGACAGGAAAGGGTTCGCTGAGCTGTCGACCAACCTCCAGTAATGGAGAGGCATTAGAAGAAGAAGATTCTAAAATAAGAACCAATATTATTACAGTTCATTTCGTTTAATTAAAAAAATATAAAGATAGCAATGTTATTCAAAATCTTTGTTCTATAATACTGTCAATAGATGGCGCTATTTCTTACATTACACATCACATAAGCAATTTGTTCTGTTTATAGAATTTATTATATCATAAATATAAATCTTAGAAACTGCCATTAATACCCTTTAAATCCGGTTCTCGAGCTGCGGTCTTGATACATTAGAATTTCCAATTCAATAGCGTTTAACGAGAACGCTTTCTGAAAATGGAGGGAGCAGATCTACAAATTCGTTTTTATTTTAAAATCAATATCCTTTTATTATTTGCCTGTTTATATAATGCTAAAATTATAACTAAAATACAAATTTTGGTATTGTATGGATAGATTATATAAAACAGTACATGATTATGTAACAGTAACAGGAGAACTTAGTTGCGCACCTAATATATCCATATGTAAATAATTCTCGCTCTTATTTATTTATTCTTGACATATCCTGATATTTATATTTATGTTATATACCCCTCTATCTATGTTATTCTGTCCTGTCCCACTGGGTTGCCTGGAAGAGATCGCGATAAGGCCGCCCTTGCTTTGTTAATAAGTTAATTGTCTTCTTTTTTTGTTTTTATGTATTATGACAGCATTAAGAGTTAATAAATAAATAAATAATTATTTAGATTATATGAATATGGAAGAGTAGAGCACATTCTATGTCGAGGCCAATAACGTAGGGAAACCAGCAGAATGATGATGTGTACCTTGAGGGTAAAAAAATGTTTTATTATATTTTACTTACTAGAGGTTTTTCGCTGCCGTTGCGCATTAATAATTTAGTCAACAAAATGTAACATTTCACGGCTTAAAATGCGAACACAGAATTTAAATCATAAGTCTTCCGAGTGAAACATAATCTACTTAGCAGGCTCGTTGCGAATTTTGAAATTGTAATTACAAAGCCCCGTTTCGCTGACTAGCAGTAATTATATTTTTCTTGAAATTATCATATTTGTTATTTTAGTAATTACTAGCTGTCGCCCGCGACTCCGTCCTCGTATAAAAAAAACTTAATAATATTAATGTATTTTTTTTTTCTTTTTATTTATCATTGTTATATGTTATTTACTGTTATTATAAAATATGTTATCGTGTAAACTGTTATGTAAAGTGTGTATAGTGTCAAATTGGTTGTGTACTGTAATGATGCTATGCAGTTTTTAAATAAATAAATAAATAAATAAATAAAATTAATATATAGATAAGTTATATAAAATTAGATCTTCAAGACATAAATCCGAAAAATAAAAAAGGTATAAATAGACGAGTGACGTCGTGTGTTTCTAGCATTCTTGATAAATTTTAAACCTCGTAGTCAAGATTAGCATAACAAAACTGTTTATTCTTGGTTTTTCAAGTGACGTATAAATCAAGTTACACAAAGCAAACGGAGAGAGCCGCCAGGAATCGCATACCTGTTCCATTTGTGAGGATTGGGACGATATGAAATACATGTCGACAGTAATTCAATTAACAATCACATTTCGGATTCAGTGGAGACCGCTGCCGTCAAGTTTTTGACACCTCATCTATCAATATAAACAATGACAGTGTGACATTTATTGCCTAACTAAGGGAAAACAATGTACAATTTATTAATCACAAATCAAAATCTTACTAATATTATATATGCGAATGTTGAGAAGGATAGATGGATGTTTGTTTGAATGATGAATAGATGAAATTTGGCATAGATGGAGAACATAGTCTGGAAGTACACATAGACTACTTATTAAGGTTTTTTTAATCCGCGCGGACGGAGTCGCGGGCGACAGCTAGTGATACTATAAACTGTAACTCAACCTTGTGTAGATTTGATGGCTCTTATTACGAATATTCACACATTTTTTTTCTTTAATTTCAAGACAAAATAATACGACCAACAGTAACTAATACAAGAGTAAGACAGGTCTTTCTGAATATAAAAGTTGGTGACTAAAGAAAAATCCCTTTATGCACATTTTTGTGAATCTCAGTACGTGGAACCTATAACGAAAATGGTTGCACTAAAAGAAAAAGTGTACCTTTTGTATATGGGGCCCATAAAGAAAATTTTAGAGGGAGAATTCGGATAGGAAGACTGGAAGTTTGCATGAAATACGCTCCACAATTTCATTTATCTATGAAATGGAAGCTCAGGTGCATCCAGAGGCCGAGATTTAAAAATCTATAGGATTATTTCGTGAAAAAAGATTCACCGACTAAACATTACTTTGGAAAAAATATTACGACAGTCATCGCCAGTTTTTACTTTAAAAGCTTGACTCTCATAAGCAAATACTTACAGGATGTTATAACATAAAAAGTTAAACTGTCGATAAATAAACAAGGGCTAGGTATATCTCGGTTTGAAAATATTTTTATAGAAATAAAGTGGACTAACTGTTGTAGACAGCATTTGTTTTTCTAAATAACCGATTTAACGAAGATTTACTGAATGTATGTTTGAAATAGAAGCACCAATTTAATCAGTAATACTTATGCGAATGTGAATAAAGAAACGCGAATTTGAAAGTGAATTTTTATGTTAAGAAATAAACTGTAAGACAAAGTAAAAATTTGTATCCAATCCAATAAATTAAGACGACTTAGTTTCCTCTTTGATATAAAATTACAGTTTATTTTATTGAAATTGAGAAAGTTGTCAGCACACGAAATCATGTCTGTCGTCCAAAATGTCTCACTCAGTGAAATTGAACTGAACCAAATCCAACAGATGTCTATAAATTGAGGCTAAACCGAGCGTTCCCCGTAAATCTCTATGCGAGTGGAATGGTACAGATTGCACATTTTCTTCGAGCGTTAAAATTTGTAGTGTCATAAAAGGTTTTAGTGTTGTTTTATATGTGTAGGACAGGTTTAAAGTGTTTTGATAGTTTTTACATCCAATAAAAAAGGCTATTTAACAATGCAAAAAAAAGATACTGGCCACATTTTTTTTATTCTTTTTCCCAGAGCCACCAAAATCATTTATGACAAAAAAACAGCAAATAAATTTATACACAAATTACGTAACAATTCAATTTTTATTTCATATATTTCAAGTATAAAAATATTTGCTCTATAAAAC